CCCATCTAAGCCTCTTCTTCCATCTCCCTGTTACAAAAATCAATGCCGTGTACACGACCACTGATAGGAGACGTGGAAGGTATTAAACTGATCAGAACAATACTAAACACACCACTCCTATCTGGTGGCACATTAGCTTGACCGCGCAGTGCCCCAAATTTGCAGTAAGAGGACCGACCAAGCCTCTCCTTCCATCTCCCTGTTACAAAAATCAATGCCGTGTACACGTCCACTGATAGGAGACGCGGAAGGTATTAAACTGATAAAAATAGTACTAAACACACCACTCCTATCTGGTGTCACATTAGCTTGACCGCGCAGTGCCCCAAATTTGCAGTAAGAGGACCGACCAAGCCTCTTCTTCCATCTCCCTGTTACAAAAATCAATGCCGTGTACCCGTCCACTGATAGGAGACGCGGAAGGTATTAAACTGATAAAAATAGTACTAAACACACCACTCCTATCTGGTGTCACATTAGCTTGACCGCGCAGTGCCCCAAATTTGCAGTAAGAGGACCCGACCAAGCCTCTCCTTCCATCTCCCTGTTACAAAAATCAATGCCGTGTACACGTCCACTGATAGGAGACGCGGAAGGTATTAAACTGATAAAAATAGTACTAAACACACCACTCCTATTTGGTGTCACATTAGCTTGACCGCGCAGTGCCCTAAATTTGCAGTAAGAGGACCGACCAAGCCTCTTCTTCCATCTCCCTGTTACAAAAATCAATGCCGTGTACACGTCCACTGATAGGAGACGCGGAAGGTATTAAACTGAACAGTCTCTATTCTGCTCTTGCATTTCTATTTCTTCATAGAAAACGAAAAAATTCTGAGAAGACGTTGGCAGGGCTATTCACTTGTGTGATCTGTCATGAATTGTCATTTGAATGTTATTTTGAACTGTGGGGCACAAGAACTTGAATCTGACAAAATGGCTGCCATATACACGTCCACTGATAGGAGACGCGGAAGGTATTAAACTGATCAGAACAATACTAAACACACCACTCCTTTTTTTTGGTGAGGCTTTACAGGACAGAGTGCTTCTCCATGGGACATGTTAACTCACGGGCAGCTGGCTCATCAAGGAACCAGAGCAGCTTTCCATGTACAGGTAAGACACGTGCAGCCGGTAAGGGTTCAGGCTCTTCTTCCTGGAGGATACGCTGCAAGCCTGTTGAGCGAGGTGACCTTGCTCGGGTCCCAGGTGTACGGTTCCTAAAATGGCTGCCATATACACATCCACTGATAGGAGACGCGGAAGGTATTAAACTGATCAGAACAATACTAAACACACCACAAATAAGGTTTCTCTCCTCTATGGCTCCTCAAATGATGCTTAAGATTACAAGCGGCTGAAAAGCATTTCTCACACTCCGAACAAAAATATATTTTTTTAACATTCTCTCCACTTTGAACGAAATGACGTTTGGGAAGAGATTAACATAATTAAACACAGGCAGTAAAATACAGTTTTTAGCCATACACTGTAACTTTAAAACTACACATCCCATCTTCATAATTACATATTTGGAATCAGCACACTTAAAACATAAACATAACCAAAAATCAGCCAAATACATCCAGGGGTTAAAAAGTTAGCTGGAGGTCCTTTTATGACCGACCGCAAGCACATTTTCCTGCCCAAAACAGTTCCATAGATTTGGGCTGTGAGGTCGGTCTATTTCAGGCTGAAAAAAACGACTAAGTCCCATCGCCGAATGGGACTTAGTCTCTGCAGCTGTAAAACCAGTAGGGGAGAAGGTAGAGCTCAGTGGTGTTCGCGGAAATGTGTAGCCGATTTTAGTTCCATGAATTTGGCTACACATACCGCTGACCTCGTCGAATGATCAAAGATGGCCACCGCCACGTGTTCGGCAAACGAACAAAGACCTCCCAGCATTGTCAATTAAGCTGCGGTTAACCGCAGCTTCTGGGAGGTAAATTGCCTGCACACTTCCACTTCTGGGTGGTCTGCCTGTGTGGTACTTGGTTCAGTAAGCCCCATTTACTTAACCAAGTGGGAATTAGCCAGGCAGGCACAAAGGGTTTGCACCAGGTCTGGGGACACAGGGGACACCGTCTTAAAGGGGCAGTGTCCCAATCTTCCTGATGTCCCAAAAAAGGTGTTTAAAGGGCCAGCACCAGTCACATAAAGAGTCCATAAGCCCCAATATGCCCACTGACAGTCTTAAAGGGCCATACACACCAAATAAAAGTGCATACATTTTCACAATCTCCCAGGGGCCATAGTCATGCGGGAGGAGGCTGGCAAGTAGGCTTCTCCACAACCCAGGGAAGCAGGGCAATTTGCCATTTAAAGGGGCCGTTACAAATAGCAGTTTGTAACAAGGTGTCAATCCATATCTGCCAAGTGACCCGATGTAGGGGAACAGTCCCTATTCTGCTCTGTGTCAGTGTGTATCATGGTCTCTGAGGACAGGTGTCAATCCATATCTGCCAAGTGACCCGATGTAGGGGTAACAGTCTCTATTCTGCTCTGTGTCAGTGTGTATCATGGTCTCTGAGGACAGGTGTCAATCCATATCTGCCAAGTGACCCTATGTAGGGGGACCAGTCCCTATTCTGCTCTGTGTCAGTGTGTATCAGGGAACCTTAGGACAGGTGTCAATCCATATCTGCCAAGTGACCCGATGTAGGGGGAACAGTCCCTATTCTGCTCTGTGTCAGTGTGTATCAGGGATCCTTAGGACAGGTGTCAATCCATATCTGCCAAGTGACCCTATGTAGGGGGACCAGTCTCTATTCTGCTCTGTGTCCGTGTGCATCAGGGGTTCTGAGGACAGGTGTCAATCCATATGTCAAGGTGTCAATATGTCATATGTCAGGTGTCAATCCATATTCATTGTGATTTAGGAATGTTAGGTGATTTCTGCCCTTTATGGATTAAAACCAGACTCTGTATCAACTGTGTAATTTTCCATGGGAGTTTGCCATGGATCCCCCTCCGGCATGCCACAGTCCAGGTGTTAGTCCCCTTGAAACAACTTTTCCATCACTATTGTGGCCAGAAAGAGTCCCTGTGTGTTTTAAAATTTGCCTGCCCATTGAAGTCTATGGCGGTTCGCCCCGGTTCGCGAACATTTGCGGAAGTTCGCGTTCGCCGTTCGCAAACCGAAAATTTCGGGTTCGCGACATCACTACTGGAGAAACATACCCCAGTCAGGAATAAATTGCTAAAAGAAAAGTGTTTGGATCTAGTTTTTACATTTACGTAAAGTCTGAGTAAAATATGCACTTTAGAGTTTCTAAATACAAAGTATATAAAGATTAGAGAAGTACATCCTTGCCCTAGCTCAGTTACTTTACCCCACAGGTAGAATGTAATATGTATCAAATATTGTAAATTATTTTGTTTGTTTAATGTTTTGTATTTCTACATTTTGTATTGTCTTTTTTATGATGGAAAAAAATTTGAATTAAGACTATTGTAACAAAAAAATAAATCATGCAATCATGTCGTTACTAGTGATGTCACGAACGGTTCTGCCCAGGACAAGAGCAAGACCACTAAGAATGCAGCTTCACAATGAATGTAAAATGGATGCTGTCCAGGAGGTGGGAGGTTCTGGGAGGAAGGGTCTGCTGCTGATTGGCTGGAATGTGTCTGCTGACTGTGAGGTACAGGGTCAAAGTTTACTCAATGATGAGTCCGTGGCGAACCGTTAGTGGCGAACCGTTCGGAACATCACTAGTCGTTACATTTGTTTGAAAAGCAAAAAAAAAAGATACAGAAATTAGACAAAACAGAGGATAAACCGTGCCAAACAGACCCTCTGTCTTGGATCTGTAAACTGCGGAAAAAACGTTCGTTTGAACCATTCATTTAAACTGCGTGAGCCTTCTGTTATATTAAGAGTCGTTTGAATCACACATTTTCTATCGAACGACTGACTACCCAGAACAGGAGTGTGGCACTCATTAAACTCCCTGACTCGTGACACCTCTAAAACCTCGAACACCTCAACATTCTTATTGCTGTACAGGTTAGTCTGCACGAACACGTGGTGGCGGCTCTTGTTTAGTCGAACGCACTCAGCGTTGTATGGTCGTCGAATGCGTGGAACTATTTTCAGCTACTTTTTCCACAAACACCACTTAAACTTCTACCTTCCGTGCGTTCGGCTAAATTCATACGAACAGATCGCTATTTCTAGGGAATAAAAGGTCGAATGAGCTGCATCTAATGACAGTAAGCACGAACCAATCCGCAATTTGTACCTTATGCGAAAGAAAAGATAGACCGACCGCACAGCCTGAATCTGTGGAACTGTTTTGGGTATGAAAACATGCGTGCAGTCAGTCAAAAGAGACTTTCTCCTATCTCTCGAACCCCTGAACCGATTCAAGTGATTTTTGAATATGTTTGTCCCCTAGTTATGTTGGTTCTAAAAATATAAGTTTTATGAAGATTGGATGTATAATCGTGAAGTTTTAAAAAGTGTATATAAAGTATATTTTTTCACTTGGAGATAATTGAGTTGGTACAGTAATTAACTCAATTATCTCCCAAGCAGAGGGCATGAATTTACTTTAATAAGTGGGAGTGTTTAGCTGTGTGCCTGTACATGATTGGTTGTAAATTTTGGTGCCCAACAAGGTCTACATGGGTGGTAACTTTGTTGGGAAATGTGTATAAAAGAAAGGCTTTTGTGCCCAGTAAATCAGTTCTACTTCACCCTCAATCTAGAGTCTTGTCTCTTATTGGGGGAAACTGCTATACAGCTATCACACTAGCTCTTTTGAGAGCTTCTCCACCTGGATGACTACTGGATGCTGAGAATACCCCTCACTCATCGGGAGAAGGACACCTTCCAGCGGTAGAAACCCCTCTACCCACCGGGAAAAACGCTATACAAGGGTATACTCAATCTTAACAATAACCCAATAATGTGTAATAAATGTTGTATACACATACTCTTTCTGGAGTAAAGTGATTTTGTATTTCGGTACCAGGAAAACCTCAAAATAAAACAGAAATACAACAAAAAATTGTGTAAAATGTCTCAATTGTTTTACAGACAGTTAGGTATATAGGTGTCTTACTCACACTTTTATGAGCTACTGAGAGCGCTGCTGTTTAGTGCTTTGACCATACAATTCCCGTCTTGAAGATCCACAATTTGATGTATCATTGCAACTCCAGTATATAAAATCTCAGTAGCACAGTCCACACAGGACACTCAGTTCCAAATAGAACTAAAATACAGAACTTTAATTTCAGTTGGGACTAGCTCATATTCTAATTACATTAAGCTTGCTGTTACAAATAGTAAAATACAAATAACCAAAACATGTCATAAAGACATACAGGGAATTATAATAACATATAACATAGTAATAAATGGACGGTTTACAGTTCCTTTAACCCCTTCAGGACCAGCCTGTTTTGGCCATGTTTTACGTTAAGGAACAGGGCTCTTTTAACACTTTTGTTTGTGTTTAGCTGTAATTTTCCTCTCTCTCATTACTGTTCCCATGCAAGTTATATATTTTTTTTTTTCAAGACAAAAAGGGCTTTCTTTACATACCTATGTGTATCATGTCATATAATTTACTTTAAAAAGAATAATAAAATATGGTGAAAAATTGAAAAAAACAAAACAAAAAAAACTTGACTTTTGCTTGAAAAATATTTTACTTACCTATGAAAGCTAATGAAAAAAAAACCTGCTAAATAGATTCAAAATTTTGTTCTGAGTTTAAAAACACACAGTGTTTAGGTGCTTTTTTGCAAGTTATAGGGCTAGAAGTACAAATAGTAAATTGCTGATTTAAAATATATATTTTGACATTGTAACACATTGTAACACTGTTATCTGTCATAAATCTCTGAATCACACCCCACATGTACATTTTTTTTTTTAAAGTTGACAACCCAGGGTATTCTATATGGGTTATGTCCAGTCTTTTTTAGTAGCCACTTAGTCACAAACACTGGCCAAAGTTAGCTTTCATATTTGAGTGTCAAAGAAAAAGAGAGGAGGCCAAGTTGTGTGAAAAATGTGTGTGAAAAATGCAAAAAATGAATTTGAACACCGATTTTGTCCAGTGTTTGTGACTAAGTGGCTACTAAAAAAGACTGGACATAACCCATTTGCAATACTTTGGGTTGTCTACTATTACAAATGGTATGCCATCATGGGGCTAATTTTCATTCCTGGGCTACCATACGGTCTCAAAGGCAACGTAACCAATCTGGCGAATTTCAATGTGAAAAAACGAAAACGCAAGCCTTATATTTGACTCTGTAACTTTTGCCGGTATTTTTTCTTTGCATATAATTGAGCCACCAGAGAACCAGGTATTTTCTTTTTGTTCGTTGGAGTGCTGGGGTCACTTGTATTTATATATATATATATATATATATATATAAATAATGTTTTTTATTTATATATAGTGATATACACATATATACTTATGTATATAGATATACACATTATTTCATTCTACATGTATTTTGATATAAATATATATATTAATTTTAAAATAGTTAGAACAATTTTATTTTTATATTTTATTTTTTAATGTATTTACATATTTATTTATTTTTATTATATATAGTTATATATATATATATATTTAATCAATATCATTGTATGTGTATTTTGATATTAATAGATATATATATATACACACACACACATATATATAATTATATATATATATATATATATTAAAATGCACTTAGACAGTGTATGCTTATATATGTGTATGTATTTATATGTGTATATGTATAC